TCAGTTTAGACAATAGGATTGTCATGTTTAATCAATTGTTAAAGAGCAAATTGAGGTTTCTATCTATCTGATTTTCTGCTTTGCGTGCGAATAAATTTCTCAATTCTAACATGGATTTCGATTTATTCATTGTAACTTAATGATTTCAGATTTCAAATTATATAGCATTTAAAATCTCTCTTGAAAATCAAGAAACTGCTCATAGATAATATATAGCCTTCTAGACCTATATGCCATTTTCCCTTTTATTTTTGTTACCTTGATTTCTTGAGTATAATGTAACGGTCTTTTATTAGACAATTTTTCTTTTTTCTTAAATTTGTTTACATTTATTGACTAATGTTTAAGTTCTCATATTAATTTATATATTTAAGAAATTTAAAATATATAATTAAAATATATAAATAAAAGGATTAAAGATATATATATAAATAATTATAGAAGATAGAAGGAATTAAATCCATCATTTAAATTATTTAATAATAATAAAATTAATAATAAATAAATATATATTATATATTATATATATATATATATATATATATTAAAAAATTAAAATATATATATATATATGGAATTCCTAAAAATTGGATATTAAAATAATAAAATATATATATATATATGGAATTCCTAAAAATTGGAGAATTCTGTTGTAGGGATGGATGATACTTAGCGAGATTGTGTACTTCAACAATGATGATGATGATTTTGGGTATTGTTGTACACTAAACTTAAACAAAAGCAATACAAAGCAAACGCAAACTGCAGTTTCTTTTGACTGACGTCGCATGGATTTGGACATGGAACATGGCAATTTAAAAAAAAAAAGAAAAAAGAAAAAAAGACAAGACACGCTCAAGATACGTTATACTAAAAATTACAATTTGTTATTTCAAGAGTGAGATGAAATGACAGATATCCATTTTTTCTTAACTAGAGATTTCGAATTCAAGCACTAGGTATGGAATTCCTTTAAACACTCGGGAAGTAAATGTTTTGCCTCCTTTTGTAGGTCTGTGCGGCGCGAATCTAGATTAGTTGGGCCAATAAACTTTGGACATCAGATGGTTAAAATAAAAAAAAAAATTTATTAAGAAATTAAAATATATAAATAGCCACCCATAATAAGTCATAAACACAAAATAAAAATCTTTACTTTCTACTTCAACACTATTAATTAGTTAAATTCTTAATAGTAACATCATCATTAAAGATCATCTTCTTCATCTCTAGCTAACATAGAGATAAATTAGCAATTTCGATAATTTTAATATCTTCAAAAGAGTCAAATTGATCCCTTGTCCCATGTTTTTATCACGTTTTTATTTGTTCAATATAATATTGCGGGTTCCTTCGTGATAAAAGTAGCAGATTACCATGAACAAAAACTAAATTTAAGCATGTTTTGGAGTCAATTTATTCCTTCTCATGGAATTAATAATGAATATATACCCTAATTCCTTTCAAAGCATGATGAAGAAGATGATTGTCCAAGCTATTTGAAAGCTATTTTTTAAAGTAGAGTTACATTTGCACCATGAATTACCCATGTTTTCATGGTGAACCTATGTTAAATTTGTCCTTAAAGTGTTCAAGAAATGTCCTTCAAATTTCTTTGAAGTGTCCGAAATTAATAAATTTAAAAAAATAATTAGACACATTTTATAAATTAACTCACACATGTCAGAAGTGTCCGAAGAATGTGAGTATCCAATACAGGGACAAACGCTGATATGCTAGGCCTTTTAAGGTGTCCGTGCAACCTACCTTCTGAGCAGTACAACGGAGAAAGAGACCTTAATCTTGCTAAATCAAATAATGTTCTAAAATAATGCATTTGTGATCTTTTCTCTAATGTGATTAGCACCTTTCAGCAAAGCAACAAACTTTCTATCAAGTGAAAGGTTTTAATTTAAGAGCCATAAAACTAGAATTTTGAGGTTTGAGGTGATAAAATCTTGGAATTATATTCAACACTTGAAAGATACCTTCTCAAGAATATTTTTTTTTTTAAGATTATCTTGAGTTTCTTGAAATTGGCATTATTTGCAGGCTCAGTATATAGGTCAATAATTTCATCATTTTATAATGTTAGAGCTAAATTACATTATTTTACATAGGTCGAGTTTATTAATTAAGGTATCCATCCTATAAATTTATAGGTCAATAATTTTTTTACCCAATTTAATTCATAAAATGCATATTATAATTAAATACAGATTGAATGTAAATATGCGGGCCAATAAAAAAAATATAATAAAAATTATTTTAGATAAGATATTATAATTTGAAAAATGATCAATAAAATTAAATATTCTTACCGACATAATTAACCAACTATTCAAGGTTACATAATGGGATCAAGAATTATCAAAGATTATAATAAACATGGGATTTCACTACTGGAAATAAGAGAAATTTTTTTAAAAATTAACTTAAATTATAAATAAATTTCTAAGAAATCCTTTGTCACGAGTTCATTTAATGTCACAAAAAACACCCAATAATATCAGCTAATAAAATATGAACTTCAGTAATTATCTAGAAAATGATTAATAAATGAACCCTTGTAAATTTAAAACATTTTGAAAGAGGAAAATTAAATGAAGAAAACACTTTAATTAAGGATGTCAAACGGATTTGGTGTTGGGTTCGACCGGGATTCGCCAAACATGCGACAGGATTACAGTCAACACGGATACGATCTATTTAATAATCATATCAAATTTGTCAACACGAACACGACATGAAAATTAGACAGGTGATGTGAATACGACAATTTAACCCGCCTAATATCACAAGCAGTTTAAGTGGGTCATATTGACCTTATGCGACTCGTGTAACCGGCTAATATCATAAGCATGCTGAGTGACTTGTGTTCACCTGTGTACTTAACCTCCTTATGATATTTTTAAATGTTAATCTATTCAACTCAAATCACATTTAAAAATAAATTATCATATATAAAATATAAAGATTCTTCCATATTCATAACTAAAAGAAAAGTTAATATAATAATAAAATTTAAATATTATTTTAGTTGAAGTATTTATATCTAACACTAAAATTACTTTTTTACCATTAAGTAAACAGGCTACTCTCGCGTGTCAACTCATGACAAGACACTTTTATATGCGTGTCATAAATAGATAATTCATTTATGATACAAACTCATTCAACCTCAATCTTAACTCGTTTATTTCACGTGTCAGGCAAACATGCGTGTCATGATCCATTTTGACACTCCTAACTTTAATGGGTAAGGTCTACTAAATATATAAATAATTTAATATTTATATTCTAAATTACAATATATAATTACTATATATATACTATATATATAATATTATATAAGGTTATATTATATATATTAATATATATCAAACATGTTTTGCCGGAAGAGTTTATATATCAAACATGTTTTGCCGGAAGAGTTCCAAGTATAATTGCTAAAATTTGATAGTATGATGTAGGATTAGAACAGTTAGGTTTTGCCTTAAAAAATACTTTTAAAATTTTGTAATCATGGTATATTAATTGTTTTGTTTTGTTTTAGTTTCCTATTGATTGGAACTAATTTATGAATAAATACAAAACATAAATGTCAAGACATAATGATAAAAAATACAAGAAATAATAATCATTTGAATAAATGAATTATTAAATAAATAATTAGCACAATAAAATTTTCTCCACTAAATGAAATGTTTAGTTCAAACTCATAAATTTTTATTTGACTATGTAAATAAATAGAATTAAATAGAATATTTTATTTTGTAACATTTTGTCACATATATTTTTAAAATAGTTTAATATTATATTACAATTTACAAAATATTTTAACTATATTTGTTCAACATTGCAATTTTCAAAAATTTTTATCTACAAATCAATTATCCAAAAATTAAAAAATATTTTAATAAAGATGAGTATAAAATTTTAAATTAAATTTTCTCAAAAAAATTAAATATTAAAAAATAATATTTATTAAATTATTTGTGTGTAGCTAGTATATTAATAAAAGCAGCACTTAAAAGTCATATAAATAAGTTTAGTAATTTAAAGGTGCTTAATACTTTGCTCTATGCCTAGGACTCATTTGTTCCAATCTTGAATGGGTCATTCATGACCCAAGTCCCAACTTCTACTAACCCAAAGAGTTCAAAACCAAAATAATTTTTTTTTGGAAAATAAAACAAAAATAAAAACGATAAAGGGCAAATCATATTTTAAACAATATCAAGAAATTAACTGACTTTTAGGGTTCAAAAAATTTGACTTGCACGTCTAGCACTAGCAATCAATATTAACTGAGTGGTACGTAGCAAAATAATAAAATAATAAATATCATATTGCAAAAAATAATAATGACAAGCAATGAACCACAATTATTAACCAATTAAAATATCAAAATAAACTTTATTTATGCAACTTTTGGCTTTGGCATCACCTGTTAGGATTTGAATTTGTTTTAGTCAAATAAATCCCTATCTTCAAGGGATATTTGTTTTGTTTATTTTGATTTGTTTGATTTCCTACTGATTTCCAGTTTAGGTTGTTATGTAAGCCTTTATAAAGGCCAGTTTCTGCAAATCAAGATTACACGATTTCTCCTCATCTCTTCTCTATCTTTCTCATATTATATTTTCTTTTAAGATTGGGTATCAGAGCCTCCTCACGAGGTTAGAAGTAGCAATCTTCTGAGATTTTATGTCTTTCAGCATGACATCTGAATCCTCTTCTTTTGTTCAACTAGCCATTCCAAAATTTGATGGGCATTATGATCATTGGTCAATGTGTCTTTCAGCAATGAACACTGATTTCCAGTTTAGGTTGTTATGTAAGCCTTTATAAAGGCCAGTTTCTGCAAATCAAGATTACACGATTTCTCCTCATCTCTTCTCTATCTTTCTCATATTATATTTTCTTTTAAGATTGGGTATCAGAGCCTCCTCACGAGGTTAGAAGTAGCAATCTTCTGAGATTTTATGTCTTTCAGCATGACATCTGAATCCTCTTCTTTTGTTCAACTAGCCATTCCAAAATTTGATGGGCATTATGATCATTGGTCAATGCTCATGGAAAACTTTATGTGCTCAAAGGAGTATTGGAGTATGGTGGAGAATGGAGATTCTGCTGCAGCAGAAGGTGTGACTCTAACAGATCTACAAAAGAAGACCTTTGAAGAACAAAAATTGAAAGACTTGAAGGCGAAGAATTTTCTATTTCAAGCACTAGATCGTTCTGTTCTGGAGACAATTCTTCGAAAGGACACAGCAAAGAATACATGGGATTCATTGAAGCAGAAATATCAAGGTACAACTCGAGTTAAACGAGCACAGCTGCAAGCCCTTCCTAAAGAGTTTGAAATTCTCCATATGACAAATAGAGAAACCGTGAATGAATACATCACTCGAACTCTTTCCATTGCTAATAAAATGAAAGCAAATGGTGAATACAAGGGAGATGTTGTTGTTGTTGAGAAAATTTTACAATCCATGACTTCTAAGTTTAATTATGTTTTTTTGTTCCATTAAAGAATCCAAGGACATAAGCTTGCTAATCATTGATGAGCTGTAGAGTAGCTTGCTTGTGCATGAACAACGTATGAGCTCGCAAACCATTGAAGAGCATGCCTTAAAAACATCTCATGGAGATCAATATGGAGGAAGAGATCGTGGTAATGGACGAGGTGGCAGCGGAAGAGGATGAGGAAGACAACAGTTTGATAAAACAATAGTAGAATGCTTTCGTTGTTACAAGCTTGGACGTTTTCAATGGGAGTGTTCACAGAAGGAGGCTAATTTTGATGAGGTACAAGAGGAGATGTTGTTAATGGCATATACAGGTACACATATGGCCAACGAAGAATGGTTTCTTGATTTTGGTTGCAGCAACCATATGTGTGGAAAGAAGGAATATTTCTTTAACTTTGATGACAAGTTCAGAGATTATGTGAAGTTGGGCAATAATTTCAGCTTGATCGTCAAAGGCAAAGGAAATATAAGGTTGTTAATACATGGATTAGCACAGACCATCACAAATGTCTTCTATGTTCCTTAATTGAAGAATAACTTGCTAAGTATTGGGTAGATGCAAGAAGAAGGCTTAGCCATTCTGTTTCAATGTAACAAGTGCAAGGTGTATCATTCAAATAAAGGCTTAATTATGGACACAACGATGTCCTATAATCGAATGTTTAAACTGGATGCTATATCCAAACCTATAGCATCTGCTTGTTTCAACACAATTACTGAGGATACTACACAACTTTGGCATTGTCGATATGGACACCTAAGCTTTCAATGCTTACAACTTCTTCAATAAAAGGATATGGTGTATGGTTTAACACAGCTCAATACTCCCTTGAAGCTATGCAAAGATTGTCTGGGTAAACAACACAGAGATCCATTTCTTAAAAGGAGCAATTGGAGAGCTGCACAAATTTTGGAACTAGTCCATGCTGATATTTGTGGGCTGATCAAGCCAATTTCTAACCGCAACAAGAGGTATGTGCTCACTTTTACTGATGATTTCAGCAGAAAATTATGGGTTTATTTGTTTAAATGAGAACTCAGAAACTCTTGCCATTTTCAAAAGATTTAAGGCTAATGTTGAAAAAGAAACAAATTAGTTTCTTAAAGTCTTATGCACAGATAGAGGAGGGGAATTTACACCACAAGAATTTGCTAATTTTTGTGATGAAAATGTTATCAAGAGACAACTAATAGTTGCATATTTGCCGCAACAAAATGGAGTCGCAAAGCGAAAGAATAGAACCATCATGAACATGGTTCGCAGTATGATTTCAGAAAAGAAAGTTCTAAAAACCTTCTAGCCAGAAGCTGTCAATTGGAAAGCACATGTTTTGAATCGAAGTCTAACTTTGGCAGTAAAGAATCAAACACCAGAAGTGGTATGGAGTGAAGTCAAACCCTCTATTGAGTACTTCAGAGTTTTTGGTTGTATTTCTCATATCCATACTGCAGATAATAAAAGAACTAAGCTGGATGACAAGAGCTTGTGTTGTGTTTTATTAGGAGTAAGTGAAGAATCAAAGGCTTATCGTCTTTATGATCCAATTCAAAACGGATCATTATAAGCCATGATGTAGTGTTTGAAGAAGACAAGAGTTGGGAATGGGATAAAAAACATGAAGAAGTTGGCGAGCCTGATTTGGAGTGGAATGATAATGAAGAAGAGTTCATTGATGATGCAGAAACTCATACCATTGCAGCTGTTGTAGAGGAAAGTAAGTCTGATCCTAGTGATATAGAGGTGAATGATCAACCTTCTGGCTCTAGTCAAGGAAGAACAAGGGTCCCACTAACTTGGATGAGAAATTATAAAACAAGTGAAGGGCTTTCTGAAGATGAAGAAGCAGTTATGTTTGCAAATGCTAGTGCTGATCCTAGTCATTTTGAAGAAGCCATAAAAAATGACAATTGGAAACAAGCTATGGATGTAGAAATGGCAGCAATAAAGAAGAATGGCACGTGGGAATTGATGGATTTACCAAAAGGAGCAAAAACAATTGGCATCAAATGGGTTTACAAGACCAAATTTTGATGAAAATGGAGCAATGAACAAATACAAAGCCAAACTCGTTGTGAAAGGATATGCCCAACAACAAGGGGCAAACTACAATGAAGTGTTTGCACCTGTGGCACGAATGGAGACAATTCGTGTGGTAATAACTCTTGCAGCTCAAAAAGGTTGGCCTATTTTCCAGTTGGACGTGAAATCCGCATTTTTACATGGTGAGTTGAATGAGAATTGAAGTGTTTGCACCTGTGGCACGAATGGAGACAATTCGTGTGGTAATAACTCTTGCAGCTCAAAAAGGTTGGCCTATTTTCCAGTTGGACGTGAAATCCGCATTTTTACATGGTGAGTTGAATGAGAATGTTTTTGTGGAGCAACTTTGCGGGTATGTGCAGAAAGGAGAAAAGCAAAAGGTTTATGAGCTTAAAAAGGCTGTTTACGGGCTTAAACAAGCTCCGTGTGCCTGGTACAGTCGTATAGAAGCCTACTTCATGAAAGAAGGCTTTGCTAAGTATGATTATGAGCATACCTTGTTCATCAAAAGAGAAGCAGGTGGTAAAGTTTTAATTGTTAGCTTGTATGTTGATGATCTCATTTTTACCGAAAATAATGAGTCGATGTTTGTAGATTTAAAAAATTCCATGAAGCAGGAGTTTGATATGACAGATCTTGGGAAGATGAGCTATTTTCTTTATTTGGAAATTTCAAAAACATCAAGTGGAATTTTCATTAGAAAGTATGCTTTGCACATTTTGCAAAAATTTGGAATGGATAACAGCAACTCTGTTCATAATCCTATTGTTCTCGATTCTAAGCGTGTGAAAGATGAGGGTGGTGTCAAAGTGGATAAGACTTACTATAAACAAATTGTTGGTAGTCTTATGTATCTTACAGCAACTCGGCATATGATGTTTATGGTAAGTTTGATTAGCAGGTATATGGTGAATCCCATTCAGCTTCATCTACAGGCGACAAAAAGGATGCTGAGATATTTGAAGGGAATAATTGATTTTGGAATTTTCTATAAGAAGGGAGGATGTGAGAAACTTATTGATTATAGTGACAGGGATTATGCAGGAGATTTGGAAGATAGGAAAAGCACTTTTGGTTATGTGTTTCTATTGAGTTTAGGAGCTGTGTCTTGGTCCTCAAAAAAGCAACTTGTGGTCAGTCTATCATCTATAGAAGCTGAATTTATTGCAGCTGCTTCTTGTGCTTGCCAAGCTGTTTGGTTGAAAAGAGTTTTAGAAAAGCTAGAATCAAATCAAGACATAACTGTTGTTGTTCGTTGTGATAACAATTCAATAATCAAGCTTTCAAAGAACCTAGTAATGCATGGACGTAGTAAACATATAGATGTGCGTTTTCATTTCTTGCGTGAGCTCACTAAAGAAGGTGCAGTAGAGCTGGTTCATTGTGTTACACAGGAACAATTGGCTGATGTAATGACTAAATTAACCACTCAAGCTGGATGTTTTCATGCAGTTACGAGAACTCTTAGGAGTATGTTCTAAGTCAGTTATAAATTGATAGCTTTAAGCATTCAGTTTAAGGGAGGAATCGTTAGGATTTGAATTTGTTTCAGTCAAATAAATATCTATCTTCAAGGGATATTTGTTTTTTTGATTCTGATTTGTTTGATTTCCTACTGATTTTGTTTTTTTTGATTCTGATTTTGTTTGATTTCCTACTGATATTTCCAGCTCTTAAGGTTGGCTAATGTAAGGCTTTTATAGAGGCGCCAATTTCTACTACGAATTAGATTACAAACGATTATCTCCTCAATCTCTTCTCTATCTTTCCTCTTAATTGTTATTTTCTTTTTAACATTCCCACTAATATATAAATGATTATCTTTATTTATTTATTTATTTATTATTATTTATTATTGAACTTTTAAACAATTAAATAGTCGCGATTTGATGTATTGCACCAAACGAAAAAAATAAAAGATACATAATAATATATCCTCATCTCTTCTCTATCTTTCTCTTATTGTATTTTCTTTTAACATCACCACTATATAATGATTATCTTTATTTATTTATTTATTTATTATTATTATTATTGAACTTTTAACAATTAAATAGTCGCGATTGATGTATTGCACCAACGAAAAAAATAAGATACATAATAATATATCAGTAATAAATCGAGTGCAAACAGGAAGCTAGGATATATATACACGCGCGTGGTGGTTGGGTGTATGAGATTTATTTGGTAAATTAATGAGTCGATTCAACCTGTAAATAATAAAAATAATTGACTAATTCAATCCATAATATCTTTAAATTTGTGAGGTTAGATTAAATTGAATTGAATCATTCGGTTTGGGTCGATTTTTAGTTTATATTAACTAATTTCCAATTAAATGTACTTAAATGTAAATATCATCATATATAATGCAATTAAAATTGACCCATGACATACTTTAACACTTGAATTTTTATAAGAAAAAAATTCCCGTGGCACTGTGAATTTTAAATCGAACTTATAACACTCTCAATTTCATATTTTGTAATAACACCCACATACTAAGCTGAGCAAATGGTCGGTTTAATTCAAATCAAATTGAACTGAAGTCACAAAATACAAATAGAAGTTTCTTTACAATAAATCGAATCGGACCGAAGTTCGTATATGAGGCATACTAACCAAATTGAACCAATTAGTTCGGTCTATTTTTGTCGGTTTTTACCATTTTGGTTTGACTCAAAGCACAACCACTGAATATTTGTATAACTGAATTGAACCGAGCAATAAATTCGGTTCAAACCGAATGAACCTACCAATCGAATCTCTCTTGGTCATTGGACTGAACCGAGATCAGTCGATTCAATTTTTTCTTTGGTTCAATCGGTAATTCTGCTCACCCCTACCCACTTACACTAAAACCAACAATTTTAAAAACTTTTTACTTTTATATATAAAATATTGATTTGGTATATAGTTAATATAACTTTTGAAATAATAATTTTATATTTTTCACCTATTCAATAAATTTTTAATCGATTTAATTTTATAAATTGATGTGCTCAATGAATTAAATAAAATATTTAATAAGTCTAATTTTATAAATTAAAGTATTTAATTAATTAAAATAAAAGTTAAAGATGCTATAAAATTTTTTAGGAGACAGCTGAAATGAATTTATATTCAACCATTAA